CGCACACGCACCTGGTGTGAGTTCTAAGCCACTGGCTCCGGAACGCGACCCACCGTGGACTAAATGGGAGTCCAGCAACATAGCCATTACGCTAACTGCTGGTTCCCTTTGTGCAACCTTTTTGAAAACTACATTGTAGTATGATTTAAGAGTTCTAAATTTTGTCATCTTTTTACCTAATTTTTACTTATTTAGGAAAATAGATTCTAGAGAAGTGTTTGTTTCAGTTGGTAACAACATAAATACCTAGTCATAGGGAAATGGTTAAGTAATGTCATTCTTTTAATTTGTTTTTTAAGAGATTTTTTACTATAGGGAGTATGTGCTCAAATGGAGAGACAGAGAGAAAGCGAGAAATCACTTCCCACCAAGGGGAGATGGCCACTCCTCAATCCCTTCTCTATTTTCCTCTCAGGATCTTAGGCACTCATGCATGTGCACCCAGTGTGAGTTTTAAGTTGCCAGGTCTGGGACTTGAACTCTGGTTTACTATGTGGGAGTTCAACGACCTACCTGTTAACCAGCCATCTGCTGGTCCTGATGTAACATCAATTTTAAGTGATGCAAAAATGTTAAATGCCTAGGATCAGCAGGTTGCCTGGTGACTAGGGTGCTGGAATCCTACATGGTCTACCGTGGTTCGGGTCCTGGACCTGGCAACTTGGTTTTACACTTTGTCTTTCTATCTTTCTCTTTCTCTCTGGTGAGTTCATGTGCCCTATAGCGAATTGAAATAAATAAACAATAATAAAATTAAATATATTATTTTAAAAAATGTTAAATGTCTAGCTTAGTTTCCTTTACATTTTTTAGTGTGAATGAACTGTAAAACTCAGCATGTAAAATTGCATATACGCATATATGTATATTCTAATCTTATACCCAGGAATAAGATTAGGAGGAAAAAACTCATTTTTTTTAAGTTAATGAATGATTTTTTTTCAGGTTCCTTTTTTTCTTTCTTTCATGAAAGAGAAATAGAGATAACACTCTTGAAAGAGTCTTGACGCTCCAGTCTACACCCTGACTCAACCAGGCCTGGATCACAGACACGAGTGTGCCTAGCAGACGTGGATGTCTCTTTTTTTTTTTTTGAGAGATTTTCACTGTAGGGCGCGTGCACTCGCCAGACAGACAGGGAGAGACATAGAGACAGAAAGCGAGAAATCACCCCCCAGGGGGGATGGTCACGCCGCAATCCCTTCTCCTCCATTCTCCTCTCGGGATCTTGGGCACGCACGCACACGCGCCTGGCGTGAGTTTTAAGCCACCGGGTCCGGGACACGAACCGCGGTCGACTACGTGGGAATCCAGCGACATAGCCATTACACTAACTGCTGGTTCCCCCAATGTGGGTGTCTCTTGATAGGAGCCCAAAATTTTGCAATGTGAGTCAGCCTTGCAGGGCTACCATCATGTTACTGCTGTGGAACCACCCCAGTTATGGATGTTTTAAAACATTCTTTCCTTAAATGGCATAGAGCACACGTGTATAGGGGGAAGAGAAAGAGAAAACACTTCCCAAAGGGGTGTGGTCACACTGCAGTTCTTTTTCCTCCAATTCTTCATCCCATCAGGATCCTGAGACTAGTCCTATATGTTTTCAAGCTGCTGGGACCAGGACTTAGACCCTGTCAGTTATGTGAGATCTGGCCTCCTGCAGCACCAAACCACTGAGCTACAGTGCCAGCCCATTCTCCCTATCTTTCGCAGTAGATACTACTGACCAGCTTTACAAAAAGTTTTTATTTTTTTGATTAAAAAACTTAGTTGAGGGACCAGCAGTTAGCATAATGGCTATTTCACTGGACTCCCATGTAGTTGACCACAGTTTGAGTCCCAGACCCCGTGCCTTAAACTCAACACTGGTCGCATATGCATACGTGCCCAAGATCCCGAGAGGAGAATGGAGAAGGGATTGTAGCATGGTCATCCCCCCGAGGGGTAGTTTCTTGCTTTCTGTCTCTCTTTCTGGCAAGCGCACGTGCCCTATAGCAAAAAACAAAATAAAGAAATAGTTGATACAGAAGTGAGAAAAACATGTAATAGCTGACTGAAGCTTTCTTGGTCAGGATCAGTGTCTTTTTCACTATAGATTTACATATACATAGCACTCATTAAAACTTGTTGGAGAGTTCTAATTATGCTGCAAAAATGGAAATTTTAATCCTTATTTTTTGCTGCAATATCCTCTTAAACCTTAAGTCTCGTTCTTTTTAAATTGTTTGGTTTGTGTTTTGAGATGAGGATGAGAAGCCTTTTGAAAGAAACCTCTAAAAACCAATTCTTGTAGATTTCATAAAGTTTTAAGGTTTCTTTTTCCACAAATCTTTAGAAAGGGTTCATCTAAAAGTAATTTCTAAACAAATAGGTATTACATAATTTTTAATGCTTTTATAGCTTTATAAAGAGGTATTAATAGATTATAAAAATTTGGTTATTGGTAATACAGTACTGTTAGTTGATGTACACACTGAGTTATATCACACAATGGTAGCAAAAGTATAGTTCCTAGAACCACTGGCAAAAGTGAACCTATTTTTTCAGAGAATATTTGGTTTCCTGATGAGGGACACCTGGATTGAGGAACTGCCTGTTAACAGTAGGTGCAAAATCTCATCGTTTATGTACTTTTTTTGTTGAAGAACCCTTTAAAGAGGCTGATTTCCAAAAGATATACTTTAAAGCATTCTGGTTTTGTTTTACTTCTCTAGTTGAGACATGAGAGGGTTGAGACTTGAGTGTCATTAGCTTATTCTTAGCACTCAACTGTCCTTAATTAAGCCTTATTGTGTGTTGCTGTTATTTTTTCAGTGTTGCAGAGTTAGGAACATGGGAGAGATACAATCTGGATAACATGAAAGTGATGCTGGTGGCTAAGGGAAAGCGACTTGGTTCTGTGGGAAGGGCTACAGCGGATTCATCTGTTGTCTAGGTAAGCGTACCTTTGTTGCAAAGACCTCATCTCATTTGTAAACTTTAGTCATATCTAGATCATGATTTCCATTTATCTTTATTTTGGGAATGGCATCATTACCTTTGTAATGTGAATGCTATACTTTTCAAACAGTAATTTGTGGAGTAAAATTTTATAGAATTATTGGATCTTCACCTTGTAAAAGTTAACATTTACAAGGGTTTTAGCCAAAGGAAGGAACATAGATTCACTTAAGTGGTAAATATATGAATAGACTAGTCTGAAAATAAATGTCAAGTGATTAACTGAATACCCATCAAGGTTTATGTCCTTTGTATTATTTAGTTGGTTAAAAAAATACATGAACAATGGTACTAGCAGTTAGCATAATGGCTATGTCGCTGGACTCCCATAGTCGACCATGTTTCGAGTCCCAGACCCAGTGGCTTAAACTCACGCCGGGTGCATGTGCGTGCGTGCCCAAGATCCCAAGAGGAGAATGGAGGAGAAGGGATTACTGCGTGGCCATCTCCCCTGTGGGGTGATTTCTTGCTTTCTGTCTCTATGTCTCTCTGTCTGTCTGGCGAGTGCATGCGCCCTATAGCAAAAAAACCTCTTAAAAGAAAAAAAAATGAAAGAAAGAAACTACATGAACAAGACCAAAAGTGAGTATCTAGGCAAGAACTTCATTGAACATTGTTAAGATGATTCTGAAGACTTCAAGCAGGCCATCAATTACATAATCCAGTACAGTTCTTGCTGCCAACCATGAAAGTTGTATTCCAAGATTTTTGATTATTTAATCTGTCTGAACAAGAGGGAAAATATATGTATAGAAACCAGCAGGTGGCATAGTGGTTAAGGTGCTAGACTCCCACATGGCTGACCACGGTTCAAGTCCTGGACCTAGAGGTTTGAAACTCACACTGGGAGCTTGTGTGCACATGCCCAAAATCCCAAGAGCAGAATGAGAAGGGATTGAGGTGTGGCATACCCCCACCAGAGGTTGAATTCTCTCTGTCTCTCTTGTCTTTTCTGTCTCTTCAGTGAGCGTATGTCCCTGATAGCAAAAAATCTCTCTTTTAAAAAAAAAATTTTTTAATAAAATAATACCTTACATTGTTGGGAAAGTCATGGCATATTTATCTGTGTAAAAATGCATCATGACTTTTCTGATGACTCAACATAGATGAAATAACCAAAAAAGGTGCTTTATTTATTTTGAAGTAATTATTTATTATTAGTAGTAGTAGTATTAAATTTTGCTATAGGGAGACAATGAGAGAGAAAGTGAAAGTGAGAAAGCAAGCTGCCAGGCCCAGGACTCAAACCGTGGTTGCCCATGTGGGATTCCAGTGTCTTAACCACTAAGCCATCTGCTGGTCCCAGATAAAGGCACTTTAAATAGTGAGAGGTCTCTGTTTTATAAGAAGGTCTAAGCACATATCTATGAGGAAAAAAAATTTGGTCTGTTATTGAATATGTACTTAATATGGAAAAAAAAAGCAAAATTATTTAGTGTTTTCTATTTTTCAAATACTAGGACTTAAATATCTGTAAAAAAAAATCTTTGACAAAAGCCAGTTCTTAGATTAGGAAAAGCTGGTGGCGTGATGGTTAAGGTGGCTAGATCCATATGGCAGACTGCATGGTCTGAATCATGGAACCAGCAGATAGAAAACACACCAAGCTCATGCATATGTGCTCAAAATCCCAAGAGAATGGAGGAGAAAGTATTACTATGTGACCTCCCCCATCAAGGGGTAATTTATCACTTTCTCTATTTGTCTTTTTTCTTGGAGTGAACATGCCCCAATACAAGACTAAAAATAATAATAGTAATTCTTAGATTAAAAGTTTTATGAATCTGCTGCTAAAAAAATCATAAATGAAATACCTATTTGAAAATATCACAAAGCTGCCAGTAAAAACAAGCAAAAAGTAGTGAGAGTTTTATTGGTAATGACAAATTCAAGCAGCTTTTTCTATTATTGGATATAAAAATGACTCTTTTTTAAAAGTAAATGTTGCAATTGTATTATTATTTATTTTTATTTATTTATTTATTTATTTTTACGTTTTCTGCCATAGGGTGTATGTGCTTGCTGTAGAGAGAGACAGAGACAGAATTAAATATTGGGACCAGCAGGTCTCACGGTTAAGGTCTCACGGGACCAGCAGGACTCCCAGGGCATGATTTGTCACTTTCTCTCTCTTCTCTCTCTCCAGCGAGCACATGTGCCCTATGTGGGGAAAAAAATAAAAAACTTAAAACATTTACGACACTTGAAGATTATTCTACTAAATTACTGGCATAAATTTAGGAAAGGCAGATTTTGAAATCTGAGTAGTCCTTGTAATGTTATATGAATTATACTCAGATACACAAATAAGTGTATTGGTGGCAGGGGCTACTTTATGTTTATTTCTGGAAATAAATTGTCGCATCCTAATCTGGAACCTGTTCTTGCACAGATTTGAGTATGAGCAGAGTTGAAGAGGATTCTGACACAGTAACAGTAGAAACTGTGAATTCTGTGACTTTGACTCAGGACACAGAAGGGAACCTCATTCTTCATTGCCCTCAGAATGGTAGGAGAAAGTGCTGACATAATTTTGACTCTTTTGGAATAGTTGAATTCCATGCCCCTGGACCCTTGTTACTCAGACAATTTATGCTAGCACTGAAGACAAGGAGGTTATCTTTTGTATCATGAATTAATCTTAGTGAACTTGTATTTTTTATAATTTTAAAATGTATTTTCATCTTTTTAAATTTACCATAAATTTTAGTCCTTATTCATCTCATAGCTATTTCATAAGTAAGATCTGTTGAGCCTATAGAGGTGATGATGAAATAACTGTAATCTACTTCTCTTAACCATTTGGTGCCAGCAGTATATTTAGTACATTATAAAATACAAAAATAGTCCTTCTAATGCATATTGATATTTTTTAAGTTAGAGAGAATTCAGTTCTATTCAACTGTTTTAGTAAGATTTAATGAGGTCATCCATAATGAATTAAAATGAACAGTTTTCAGGCTTGCAATTTTACTGTTACTTCTCTTCCTGCCTTTTATTTAAATAATTATTTTGCTTTTAAGTTCATCTTTACCCAGCTGAGGTTTTGTTTTCTCTTTTTACTCCATATGTAATTCCTCGGTTAGTTCACTTAGTCTTGTGGCTTAAACTAGCACCCACCCATTAAGATGACTCACACTTGTATCTTTATTCTGAATTCTCTTAAATTTCACACTTCCCAAAATAGTTCTTTTACACACTTTCTAAACCTAGCTTTCTTTTTGTCCCTTCTCAGTTAATTTCATTACAGTGTCCTAGATCGTAAATGTATTAATAATAAATTTCTGCTTTTATCTCCCACATTCATTCCATCAGGAAGATTTGTTGGTAATGTTTCTGTGTTTTTTAATCCATTTCTTCCTGTTTCAAGTCCCCCTTTCTTAGTTCAGATTCATTTCTCATCTGGATAGCCTACTCGCCTTTTAACCTGTCTCTTACCTCTAATTAATCTTTCAGACTACTGATAAAATTGATCATGATACCCAGTAGCATAAAAGATTCTTACAAAGCTTTCCATGGTTTTTAGAATATAGTATAGGTTCTTTAATTTGGTACATAGTCTCCATTATTTCAAGTGTTCTCTCAACCTCACCTCCTGTCACATTTTATATATGGATATTCTAGCAGTTCACAGCTGTTTCTTTCTGTAGCATACTTTAAACTTTTCATACTTCATTGTCACTGAAAATATTCACCTCCTGCCAGGATGGATAATCATTTTTCTCCTGGTTTCCATTCTCTTTCAGGTTAAAAAACCTTCAGGAAGCCTTCCTTTAGCTCTGGCTTAAATGAGATGTATCTTCTCTGTGCTTCCATAACAATGTCTTTCACCCTCATAGCTCTTTTTTATACTATTTTGAAATGGTTAGTTTAGTCACCTCCACTATACTATGAGTACCTTGACAGGGTATCCTAAACTGTTCTGTCCCCATCCCTGAGCACATAGTAGGGATTCAGTAACTGAATGAATGAATCATATAACCAACCCTTGTTTTTATATGTGAAATATTTAGAAAGCCAACTGTGGTACTTTCAAAGATGGCACCATTGTTTGTGGTTCTTTGTCATAGGAATAGCTGAGTACATCACTAGGCATAGAGAATGTGATGTCTTTTTGAATCCTATTTTAATGGGTAAAAAAATTGTCATAGAGTCATTTACTAGGTAAGAGATTTTTTTTTTTCTTCTACATTGGTTTGAAGTTTTTGAGATTTTTGGGTTTTTTTGGTTTTGTTTGTTTGGTTTTGTTTTTTCTCTTCCATTAGAAGCTGATGAAATAGACTCAGAAGATAGTACTGAACCTCCACATAAAAGGCTTTGTTTGTCCTCTGAGGATGATCAGAGTATTGATGATTCTACTCCTTGCATATCAGTTGTTGCACTTCCACGTAAGTCACTGTGTATTAGGAATGAAGCATTCCCTTTTTAAATCAATTTTAGTTTACAAGAGATTCAGTTGGCATTTCAAGGTGTACTTGTACTCATTACTTTTCTTTTAGTCTGAAAACCTCTTTTTAAACTAACACTTAATGAGTGCTCATTATGTGCCAGACATAGCTTTAAAAGTGCTCAAAGTATTTACCTGTTCTCTAGATTTGTAAAATTTATGTTGGTAAAATTAGGGAGCAGCAGATGGCGTAATCATTAGGTCACTGAACTCCCTCATAGCTGACCACGATTTGAGTCCCAGACTGGGTGGCTTGACACTCATGCTGAGTGTGTATGCATGCATACCCAAAATCCTGAGAGGAGAATGGAGAAGGTATTGCAGAATGGCCATCCCCCCTCGGAGTGGGTGGTGATTTTTCTCTTTCCGTATCTCTGTCTCTAGTGAGCGAATTTGCCATATAGCAAAAATCTCTCTTAAAACAGTGACAAAAAATTGTTGATAAAATTAACTTGAAGAAGGTTCTGTGTTTTTGTTTTTGTTTTGTTTTGTTTTTTGTTTTTTTTTAAAACAGTCATATCAAAAGAATGAAGTCTGGGCCAGCCCCCTAGCCTAGTGGTTAAAGGAGCCAGGTCCTACATGGCTGACTATAGTTTGAATCCCAGCCCCCACAGCTTAAAAACCATGTGCAAGAGTGTCCAAAATTCCAGCAGGATGGATAAAGGAGGAGAAGGGATTGCAGAATGACTGTACCCTATGGTGTATTCCTTCCACTGCCAACCACTGTCTTGGTCTGGTGAGCATACACACCCTCTTGACCATTTTTTTGAAAAGCATCGAGCCAGCATTGTGGTGAAGGCCGTTAGATCCTACACAGCCAATAGCATGGTTCGATTCCTAGATCTGGTAGCTTGCAAAACATGCCAGGCGTGTGTGTATGCATCCCCAAAATCTCAAAAGAAGAATGGCAAAGAGATTGTGGGGTAACCATCTCTCCCTGCTTTCTCACTTTCCTTTCTCTGTCTCTCTCCAGCAAGGACATATACCCTATAGCAATTTTTAAAAAAAAAAAAAAAAAAAAAAAGGAGCATATAAAGTTCTACTAATGACACCATCATCTGGGATTGGGCAAATCATTATTTGCTAGATTTCATGGAGGTGAATTAGTTTTTTAAGATTTAAGTTTAAATTTAATTTCCACGTTCAGGTGGATTTTTGTGTTTTTTGTTGTTGTTGTTTTTTGGGGGGGGGGCGTTTTTTACATAATTTGTGTGACTGATAATCTGTCTGGGCCTTCTAAGTTCTACCAGCGTCTTGCGTTAACTTTCCATATTAATCATTCCAGCTCCCTTACCAACCACTTCTTTTTGTAGTCATCTGCCACTATATTACCCTATGCCCTATTTATAGTTAATAACTGTATGGTGATTATGATATTCATATAGATTATTTTCTCAGTGCACTAGCCCCTTTTTCTTTTGTTCTCCATTTATCACTCCCTTTACCACTCTTGCCATTATCTGTTACTGTAGTCCATTTGTGATCTGTTTCAGACTTGATATTTTTCTACAACTACTTCATCATTCCAAGCTCTCTTCTAGTACCCTTTGAAATCTTTTGTCCTAGTGGAACCCATTGCTCTTACCACTTTTTAATTGTTCCCTCACCATTTGTATTCTTTCTTTTCTCTTTATCTCCTTTCAGTTTCATAATCAGTCATGATAATGTCTTCCATCTACCTTCAAATCATTTTTCCTTCTCTTACTACATTTTTCTTTGATGAAACTATAACCCGGTTTCAACTTATCTTTGTCTATTTATATCTTTAACACTGTAGATAATTGAAAGGAATTAGAGAAAAACAGAACAGGCAAGCTGACTGGTCTTATTTTAAACTCCTAATTATTAACCCTAAGTATACTTAGAATGCTGCCTGCCAATCACACTATACTTTTCCAATTTTCTTTCTCCACTCTAAGATGACTATTTAACATGTCTGGAAACCTCCAGTGAATGTTCCAACTTTCTTTCAACTGATAGCTCTGCTTCCTGCTTCACTGAGAAAACTGAAGTACCCAGAAAATAATTTCTATAAATTTTACTTCCACAAGTACACACTGCCACTTGCATTAGTGTCCGCACAATGTATTCTTTATCCTGACTAAGACCTGCTTTCCTGTATAATAGAGTCCATCCCCTTTGCTAAATCAAGGACATTGTTCTAGTGATCCTTTCCACTCTTTTCTGAATCATGAGTTTTTCATTCTCTACTGGATATTCTCATTGGAATTACATACTGTCATTTTTTCCTTTTAAAAGTACACTTTAGGGCCTGCAAATGGCATTAGCAGTTACATCACTGGCCATATGACTGACTGGTTTGAGTCCCAGACCCGGTGGCTTAAAACTCAGCCAGGCATGTGTGTGTGCATGCCCAGGATTCCGGGAGATAATACAGGAGAAGGGACTGTGGCATGACCATCCCCACCCCCCTGCCCCCAGGATGATTTCTCACTTTCCCACCATTTCTGTCTCTCTGGCGAGTACACACCCTAAGACAAAAAACAAAAGTCCAGTTTAGCTCACTTTTGCCTCCTACAAAGTTTTTCACTTTGCCTTTAAGAACAGAATACCTAGAAAGAATCGCTTCTACTTGCCTCTGTTTCTTTTTCATTTTTCCTTAAGCCCATTCCTATAAGGCTTTTAGTCCTTTATAAACCGTGTTTCTGTTATCAATCCCTCTTCCCTGAAACATTGTCACTTCTAAAGAACACATCTTCTGGTTTTCCTTCTGCTTTATTCATCTGTTCTTTCTCAGTCTCTTAGGCTGATTTGTTCATGCCACTTGAACCTCTAAACATCCCAGGATTTAGTTCTTAGGCTGACTTTTTCTGTTTTTACTCACTTTCTATGTGATCTCAATTCATGGTTCTTAATATTATTTTTGGCAGTAACTTCCATATAAATCTCTCCCTAGTCATCTCCTCTGAAACTTTAGATTTTAATACACATCTCAAAAGATGCGTTTAAAATTAAGCTCCTGAAACTTCCTGAATTCTCAAATTTGCTCTTTCTACAATCTTCTCTCTTATTTCTAGCAGATCCATTCTTCTTTTAGTTCAGATAAATGCCTTTAATGTCTTTTTATTTTTTTTATTATTTTTTTTTTTTGGTAATTTATTTCTTCTGTGAGTGAGTGAGTGAGACAGCTAGCCAGCGACTTTCCCCAACAGGGTTTCAACACCACAGTCCACTCCCAGCCTTCAACCAGCCCTGAATCATAGGCATGGGTGTGTCAGGTATACTCAAGGAGGTCTCCTGGCTTAAATTGGGAGCCCATGTGGGTCAGTTTCATTGAATGTGTTGTGTTTTACCACTATGCCACTGTCTAGCCCCTGATAACATTCTTGACTTCAGATTTTCTCCGTATCTGGTTTATTCACAAGTTATATTGACTCTATCATAAAAATATACCCACAATTTAAACTACTTACCACTCTCATTTGCATTTACCCTTGTCTAAATTACTGACCTCTCTTATCTGGATTATTGTATTAGCCTTTTGCTGATCTTACTCCAGACCTTGCTGTCCTTCAGACTATTTTCTCCATAGCAGCAGAGCGATCCTGTTAAAATGTTACTCCTCTATTCAAAACCTTCCAGTGGCTTTCTGACTTAGGATTAGCAAAGTCTTTACAGTGGCCTATAAGGTCCTACACAATCTCCTGCTGTCATTGTTCTGTGTGTTCTAGCCATATTGGCCTCCCTGCTGTTTCTGGGAATACTCCAAACATGCCCCATCTCAGAACCTTTGTGATTGACCTTCCTTGTAATGTTTTCCTTGAGATACCTGCATGACTAGCTTTTTTTCTCATTTTGTTCTAAGTCTTGGTCACTTTTCCTAGTCGCCTATTAAAATGTCTAACTATCTACCCTAACCCCAGCACATTCCCTGTCCTCCTCTAGTGTTTTCTCCTACCAGTTACCATCCCATATAGTATCTTGTTCATTTGTTTTTCCCCACTAGAATATAAGCTCCATGAAGGGAGAGTTTGGTTTCTTTTGTCCACTTTGTATCCCCAGCACGTAGAGGCCACCTAGTATATATTAAGTATGTAGTAAATATTAAGTAAACTTACTGGTATCTATTTATGAGTGTGTTAGGAACTTAGGTGATATTTCCATGGATATTTTTAGGTCAGTTAGAACCTGCCATTATCATTCTAGAGTTGATCTCTTCCTTTTTTTTTAAGTTTCAGAAAATGATCAAAGCTTTGAGGTGACCATGACTGCAACCACAGAGGTGGCAGATGATGAGATCACTGAAGGGACTGTGACACAGATCCAGGTATTGTACATCTTTTAACTGACCTCGAAAGGATGATCCTTTACATAGCTTAGGTAATGAAATAATGACACAATACTTTGACAAAAAGCACCCACAAAATTGAGATAGAATTAATCACTTCATTAAAGTTTTTGGTCCCCATGTATGAATCTCAGTCATAAGTACAGATTTTAAAAATTCATTCCTTATAGAGTGGTTTACATCTGTTAAAGCAGAAGGTGATGCATTCCCATTCATTATCTGCATGTGAGATCACTTGAGCTATTAAATAGCAAGTGTAGTTTTGGTAGTAATGCTCATTTTAATTCATACAGAACTTGATACATTTTACTACTTATTGAAAAGTTGAGTAGTAAATCAGGCCTTATTGTTTTCTTACATGAACTTGTTTATCTCATTTGAGCCCTAACTAACTTCTGCCAAACATAATTGGAATTCTCTGCTTTCTTAGAAAACTTAAAGCTTAAATGTATTTTTCATCTATATGTTTATCTCTGGTTGATTGTACCCATCTTTCAGTAGTTTGTCCTTTTGCTTCATCTCCTTATTTAATAAAATATTTTAATAACATTTTAAATACAATTGTAGTATTTTTATTTTATGAAGCATCACAACAACCATTTAAAAATTATAATAGTTGTAAGTTGATGTGTAACGTCAGATATCTCTGTTAGGTGTTCTATATGCCTCTTGTAGTAATCAGATTCAAAGTAGTTTCCAGAATCACAGGATTTTCAGAACCTTGAGTCTCAAATGTGTTTCAGATACCTTTGAGCAAGACTAGAGAGTCCTTATAATTAATTAGCCCTTGGATTTCAGTGGATGATTTGGGTAGGAATTTCTTTCTAAGCCCAGTGAGACAAAATTATCCTTTCTTCAAAATGGGACTTATCCAAGTCATTCAAGATTCAAAGACTGCATAGTCTTCTATTCAGTTTTGCAGCACAGTAAGAATAACAGTAGACATATGTGTGATTTGGTTCACAATCTTTTGGTTCGTCTGAAAAGCAATGACTAATTTTTGCCTAGAAAAACAGAAGAATATGTCATGACTTTTCAGACAACCCAGTAATTACTCTAGGATCCAGTAGTGGCAATGTTAGTCCTTGTTATATGACAGATGATAAGGTTGTTTTGTTTTGCTTTTGCTGGAGTTAATGAGCTATAATGTAATATTTAAGTTCTTGGTATGTTGTTACCCCTTTAGCAAATTAAAACTTGTAGTAATGATTCTTGGTATTTGTTTAGGATTAACATTGGATTGTGAATTGAAAGTTAGCATAGTTAAAAGGTTTAGAAATAGTGTGCTTCTTAGTGCATTCTGGCTGTAATCCAGGTGTGGCTATTTGACATAGTTTAGTAGTTAATGAACTGTATTTGGAATTTCCAGTTATGGAACTAGCTCTGGAAAGAAATAAGAAACTATAGAAAATCTCAATATATATATAGCATAGTCTACTCCACAACCTTTATATTTGTAGCATTTCATTGGTGGGTTTGAGTATTTGATTCCTAAGCCTGTATATGTTATAGAATCCTGCAACCAACTCACAGAGGCTCACTTAGTTTATTATTTATTTATTTATTTATTTATTTATTTAAATGGTCAGAGAGCATACTTACCAATGAAGCATAATCACACAGCAATCCTTTTCCTCCATTTACCATCCTGTCAGGATTTGAGGAATGCATCAGAATGGTTTTCAAGTCATTGGGCTCTGGATTTGAACCAGGGTAGGCCATGTAGGGTATGGCTTCCTTACCACCAGCTGGCAGGCTAGCTCCAAAAGCTCATTTTTAAAGCGACAGCATACTAAATAAAGCTTCAGTAATTTTTTAAAGATTTATGCATAAAGTAGTGAGAATGGTATAAAACTTACTATTTTCTATATACCTAAGTATAAGTAAGTCTTCAAAATACTTAAGTCTCCTGCTATATATACTCTATAAACTTATTTGTTGTGCCTTATGGAGGCACAGTTAATAAAAATTCCCTCCCGTTCTTTCTTTTTTGATGTGCAGAAACGTCTTAATCTCATGAAGTGTTGAATACTGTGACTCCTTAATAATTATTTGCTCATTTGTCAGCTATTTACATTTTGATACTATGTCACCTAAGTAATACTTGTAACTTTTCATCAGGAAAAATTAGAGCCATAAAAAATTGTTTGCCCAAAGTGGTTAAATGGCATGACAGACTTATTTGTGAGATGAAAGATAGGCTTTGTGTATATTTAGATATACTCTGAGAATTGGTAATTTGATTCCCTTGTCTAAGAGAAGATCATCTAAGTATTTTCTACATTACAGTTTTTAAAAGTAGGTATTACACGTATTAAGGTCTTTTGGTAGCTCTAT